TTCATCTGCCATGCGTATTTCGGAGGGGAGACTGTTCCAAATTATTGCATACTTGATGAGGAAGAAGTTTTCCCGAGTTTTTGATCTGTATTTCTCAACTTTGACCGTAGATTCTTTGTTTCGAAGTACATATTCATGTGAATTTCGGGCAAGAACTATATTACATGTTGAATAAGTAAGGTTTTTGAGTAGTTTGAAGTATAGAATCAAATTAGACCTAAGCCTTCTCTTCCAAAGGGGTGCTATTCTTAGGATTTGGCATCGGGAACTGTAGTCAACGACTGATTCAGTCTTAAGTATTTTGCAGGTGAAGTCTCGTTGTATTCCTTCCACCTTTAGTATATCAGATAGGCGTAGGTTGGAAAAGAAGAACGAGCAGTATTCAGCGATAGGTCTTACACAAACTTTATAAAGAAGGATTTTGGATTCATTTTTATAGAAATTATGGAGAATGAAGCCAAGCAATTTCCGCATTTTAGATACTTTGGCTGAGATGTGTTCAGAGAAATTAAGACGTTGTGAGTAGTGTACCCCTAAGTCAGTTACTGATGCCAGTCTGGACAGTGTGTTGTTGTTAATTGTTAGTTTTATTTTGAGAGACGTGTCTCCTATACATAACCAGCCGCATTTCTCTGTGTTGAGCTCTAACCTCCAGCGTTTGCACCAGTCGTCTACTATGTTGAGTTCATGTTGGATTGTTTGCATAGTACTACGTACATCCCAAGTGTCGGTTTTATAGATGACTTTTAAGTCATCGGCATAGAGGTAGGTCTTACCTGTGCTAAAGCATTTGCATATACTGTTGATGTATATTATAAAGAGCAATGGACCCAAGACACTACCCTGCACAACACCACTGGATATTGGTCGAGGTGTAGATGTTGTAGAGTCAATCTTGGTTATTTGGTATCTGTTCGTAAGAAAAGATTTGATCCATTGCAAAAGAGGATTTATAATTCCAACTGACTTAAGTCTGTTGATTAGAAGATTATGAGGTACTTTATCGAAAGCTTTCTTAATATCGAAATATAGTATAACCACCAGTTTCTTTTGATCACGTATGCGAGTAACCTCGTTAAAGAAGTCTATCAGACATGTACTGCACGACCTTGTTCTAATGAAGCCGTGTTGTGACGGGTCTATTAGATTTTCCTTAAGTAGGTGATCAGATAGTTGATTTTTTATCACTTTTTCCATTATGCGTGATATAACTGGAGTGATATTTATAGGTCTGTAGTTTTCGACCAGGTTTCTCGGTCCGGATTTGTGTTTTGGAAGAACATACGTTACCTTCCAGGTTTCCGGATATGTACCTGTCTCTACGGATCATGTGTATATTTTGAGTAATAGCGTCTGTATGTCCAAACCTGACATTTTATAAAGGATTGAGGGGATGCCATCGGCACCAGAACTCACATTTGGCTTAAGGGTTTTAATGGCGGTATGTACACTCCCTATGTCGAAGTTTATGGTACTAAGATAATTTTTGCAGGTGCACTTTGTGTTGATATCTGTGACATGAGATGTATTTCCATTGTGGGAAAACCATTCACTTAATAGTTCACATATGATGGTTTGGTCATTATGCGTCACTCCATCGTGCAGTAGGGAGTGAATGTTGTTATCTTCGTTCTTTCTTATGCGTTTTGCGAGGAGACGGCATAAGGCATGGGTTTTAGATGCAGCAGTGAGCGCAGTATGTTCCTCTGCCTGTTTATGCTTGTCGTGTTGACTTTGTACTCCGTCGAGTACAGAATATATCTGGTGCAGGGCACTGAAGTCTTTTGATATATAGTACGTCCTTTTCAGTTTACGCAGTTTAGACCTAGTCTTTTGGTTTATGTAGGGAGTAGTCGTCTTAAAAGCAATTTTAAAGGGTATAGTAGTGTCTAGTGCAGATTTGATGGTGGTATTGAATATTTCTAATGTTTCTAAGAGGTTATCACTGGTAAAGAAACTGCTCCAGTCAGAGTGCTTTATTAGAAATTGAAAGTTTTCCCAGTCAGCGTTTGCATAGTCTCTATATTGGAGACGTGTATTTATTGTCTTTAGTTTGTTGCACATGGCAAGAATCGGAAGGGTGCAGAGGACTATTTTATGAGCGCTGTTGTGAAACTTTTCGCCAACCACTATTGATGTTGGTGTGACATTATGACAGAATATCAAGTCAAGAATGTTGTGATTTCGTGTAGGCAGGTGTACATGTTGTTGCCAACCGTGTATGTCTAAGGACCTAAGTATGCCTTCAAAGCACAATGGGCCAGAGTGTGTCGTCCAGTTAATGGTGGGTAGGTTGAAATCACCACAAACAATTTTGTAAGTGAAGTCAAGCGAGGCAGCCTGAGCAAATGACTCACTTATAATTGTGTCAGTTGAGCTAGGTGTGTTAGGAGCTCGATATATGCATCCGATTAGTATTTTGCATTCATGAGTGTGCACAGTGAGCCATATCGAATCAGGAAGTTTGCTGAGGATGTTGTCGCTATAGGTTTCCGCTTTCAGATTTTTAGATACATAAACAAGACAACCACCACCCTTCTTGTTGACTCGATCACAGCGGAAGAGCTCATAGGTGTCTATTTGTAGATATGTGTCTGTGATATCGGAGGACAGCCAACTTTCCGTTATCAAAACAAGTGAGGGGTTGTTTAAAAGTAGTAGGGTGCGTAGATGTGTCATCTTACTTTGTATAGATCGAGCGTTGATTAACATAAGTGTCAGGTACGGTGAGTGTTTGTCTAGTAGAATTGTATGTTGCAAACCCAGTGGATCGTCTGTTTCGCCATGTGCTAAAGAAGGATTGGGAGTGTGGACTTCATATTGATGCGCATTTAGTTTATTACCAATAGGGTTAATGCGAGAAAGGTAGTTGGAAGTTAGTTTGGTGAAAGGAGTATGTTTAAGATTGAAAGGTAGAGTTGGATGGTTAGGTAGTGTGTTCGGGGAGTGATCAGGAGGTACAGTCAAGGAGCTTTTAAGACTAGAGACAGCTGTTGACGTTGAGAAAGGTGTGCCACTCCCCATAGGGTCGGAGTGTATAGATGGTCTCAGATTAATGGGATTATCGCCCTCAACATTTGGAGACCCAAAAGCAGCACTGTTGAGGGGGAGAGAGATAAAAAAAGGATGAGATGGTGTATTTGTCGAATTATTGGAGATTAAGGAGTTGTATGGGGTGGATTGATTTAGATAGTATCTAGAGTCAGTAGGTGGGTTCCCAAGTAGGCCAACGTTATGGCTTCCTTGTGTGTGGTGGGCGATTCTAGTCCTATTATGGGTAGTTTAGGAGGTAGTACGTTTCTGGTAAGGGTAGAAGGATTGCCTGACTCTGTTGCCAGGAGAGGTGTTTCTGTTGTGTGTAGTTGTGTGCTGGTTCATGGAGCTTGTAAGGTCCACACTATATGACTTACGAGTATCACATGTAGGTGTGGTTCTTATCGAGTGTCGTTTCAAGTTAGGACAAGTAGGTGCTGCCAGTTCACTATGTTTGTTGTAGGGCATTCTACTGTTATGAAAAGTTGCATGTTTTGGGTTAGGGGTGCTGCAGTACTGGTGGCTTTTTACAGGGAGTTTAGCATTATTTCGTACAGCAGTGTCTGAGCATCTGTAGCTGTTGGCGCACTTCCTGGGAGGATTATTTTTAGGCTTCTTATCGAGGCAATACTGTGGCACTATTGAGGCATAAGTGGGCTGGCATTTTGGGGTAGTTGGGTGTTCGGGCTGAGGATGAGTGGTCGCAGCTGCTTTATGTGCTGTCTTGTTCCTAGGACTAATAGTAGCATCCGACGTGCCTCCGTTTTTGGGAGGGGTAGTGTATAGTTTTTTTAGGATTTATGCAGTGGCAAGCGCTGTAGCTGCCACGGCTACGTAGTCTGGGTTGATTAGTTTGTGTTCCATTGAAGATTCGACGCTGGATAGCAGTCCTATCATGGATGATTCTAATCTTTCTAAATGTTGGAATACGCCTAAGTAATGACTGACTATTGAGGAGATGATTAGCTTCAGTGGTACTACCAAACTGAAATAGAATGGGACAGGAGACTTTAGTGTGTTTTTTACGTAATCTTGTTACACACCAAGATTGTGACAATCCACATTCTTGTAGTAGAGTATTTCTAACAATCTTTACGTCCGCACTATCAGGTATATTATACACAATAAAATTTTGCATACACTGAAGTCTGTAGCATGGTGTCGAGTTGAGCTTGACTATGAACACCGCTACCAGACTACGTGCCAATAGACCAATAAGATTCCGGTAGGCCAAAAATCAGAAGGCAGATGATGGCTGTAGTCGAGATGTATTTGTTGGCGATCTCGTGGTATCGAAAGAATACCGAGATCGTGCCAAAGGAGTACAAGTGTGGTTACTGAGCGTAACCGGATTCGGGCAGCGCTTCAGGGGTATCGTCCACTGATGGAGGTTGCGAGCACTTGAAGGTCAAACTGTTTCAACATGATTGGTGCGTGACATCGACAACTCGTGAAGTTTTTCAGAGGCGGTCAAATCAAGGCATTTTTAGATTTGAATTAAGTTCAGCCACACCATGTCTGATAACGTCCATCCTTCAAGTAACGAAGATGATGCCATCGTTATGATGCATGATATAGGACCAATCTTCAATGATATCATGTTATCTCGGAGATTTACAAGTTGGGACAATTTTGAGACCTGTTTGAAAGAAGTACATAAGGTAATATGACTTCTGTGGTTAATGATTATTTTTGTAGTATACGCATACTAGGTACGTTATGTCAGTATGCAAAAAGAACAATGATGACCCAAATCTAAAGTATCTTTTCGTGAGATATGTTTGTACATATGGACGTAAACGCAGTTCGTCAGAGTCAGATGCTTGCGTTCAGGATGTAGGTGATGATAGTGATCATCATTCTTCCGAAGAGCACACAACTTCTAACTCACCCCCACAACCTAGACAAAGAAGACGACGTCGGTCATCTACGTATGCTTTGCTTCAAATTAATTTATCCTTCAGGTCGAAATATTGTCATTGTCAATCTGGATTTTGGGTCCGTGCAGTAAATGGTGAGCTGAAAGTCACCTCTGTCAAGACCGTGCACAACCATCCTTGCACAGAAGGATATATTTCTGTAGATCCTTCAAGAAGAAAGTTGACGTCAAGTGAACGTCTATATTTAAGAACTTTTCTAATGAGTAATACGCCGACTCGTAGTTTACGGCATCTGGTTTCTTGGAAGTTCCATAAACAGCTTACCAAGGATGATATCTGTAAAATGCGTTCACAGTTGTACCCAGGTTGTTGAACTCACATTGTAATTAATTGAGATTAGACACCAAAAATATCAATAACATTTTACAGCGCGTTCAAGCAAACACTGAAGTTAAAGTACTCAGTGAACATGGAAACATATCTATGATTTGCTTCAGTCGCAGGGAGCAGGTATCTATTTACCACGCGTTCCCAGAGGTGGTATGTATTGACTCGACTTATCAGACCAACAAAGTTGGGTAAGTAACGAATAGCAATTAATTCATCTTACAGTTTTCCACTGTTCCAGCTAGTGGTGACTGATAGTCTTGGGCAAGGGCACACTGTTATGTATGCTCTTTGCAGGCAAGAACGACGAGAAGATGTCGTAAAATTATTGGAATGCTTCAAAGATATAATGTGCTGTACTTATGATACACGCACTTTTGTTATGGATTCGGCAGCAACCGAAATTTCAGCAGTGCAGTCTACGCACAATCATGCCGACATAGTACTTTGTTCATTCCATGTCTTAAGAGCATTTTTCAGGAAGGTAAGTGTTAGCTGTACAAATTATTTTCTGTAGTTCCGAAATCCTGATGTACGTAAATGCTTGGAACACCTTGTAAAGACTAGACGGTCTGATATGTGAGCTTCGTTTTTCGGTGCTACGACAAGGGTATGATGTATGTTGTTGATACTTCACGTGCACGATGTGCTTGTGAGCGTTTCAATGACTACATGCTACCCTGTGGTCATATTCTGTATGCACATTCTAAAGATCTAATAAGTGGAGGTAAGTGTGTGTTCTTTTGTCTCTATAAGCATTGTAGACTTATTTCGACATAGCAGCCGGTGGACAAGGAAATATATAATGGACTTGGTTCTTCGTGCGCTCGACAACATGTCAATCTCTACCGGGAGTGATGATCTGCTAGAGAAGTTCACTAACAACTACCACTCAATCCATGCTCTTAGTGAACCCTTGGCAAGTAAACTCATCCGTTCATGCTTCGAAGCATCTGAAGACATATGCGCACAAGTGATGAGTTCAATCGGTGCTAATGATGAAGCTACATCGTCAAAATCCATTGTTAACACTGACCATAGCTATGCTTCTTGATGACAAGAAGTTCTAATATTGTAATCTTTTTAGTTTTACATAAATTCATTTATATGGGCATTAACTCATTCTTATAGCGTTACGGTAGGGAGAGTGTACTGTGAAGTCTTATGTCGCTGTGAAAAAGGGATGTTGTTTCGCGTTCTTGTGTAATAATTACCAGTTTAGCGCACACGCGATTAGTTATACGCACTGTTTACCAAACACTGCAACTTTGAACATGATTTACTATACTACTAGGTCGAAATTTGACTTGTCACGATAGGTAAGCATTGCCGTAATTAAAACACTGATGTATTATAAATGAGAACGTTTATTAATGTTGAAATCCAACGAAAATGATCCATTAATGAATAACTTCCAGTTCTTAAGAATTGTTCCAATTAGGTCGGTGAACACTTGCGAAGCCAGCTGGAAATAAGATAGACAGGAAATAACTATTACAATATAAATGTTTACCCAAAACTTACATAAAAAGAGAAACCGGTATTCAATTACAAATCGAGAGTGCATTTGGTACATCACGCTTATTTGCTTTATATATATATAAAGACTGCTATGTGAACTTACTTTGAATCGTCTTGTATGATCTGCAATTATTGGTGCCTTTTTTATTTTAGTCTCACGCAAGGTATAATTAATTGTCATTCACGGCATCAACATATAAGTTAGCCAGGCCTTCGGTAATTTTCGAAGATCATTATATACGATCTCACACAATCTGGTCACCTGAGATCAAGATATCTTAATTACCCAATCGTACTTATTTCTGCTATTGGCTATCTTTGCAAGAATACCGGCAGCCTGAACATTGGAACTCTGTTCAAGAGATAATATACTAACTCTAAGCTAATTAGCTTTATAAAGCAATCTTAGCTTACTCTCTGGTAAAATCTCCACATAATTGTACCTCTCTCGCATGATTATGATTTATTTCCTGCAATATAATGATTTGGTAGCTTATATATCTAACTGTAGAAGGTGATATTAACATATTGGTATGTGTTATAACCATCTACAGCATATACATAATATTGACAACACTAACAACAGTTAATATTTTCACTATTAGCCTATGTCTGCCATAAAAGTCGAACAAAACAGTGAAAATCAGCCAAAATTGTAATACAGAAGGGAAAAACGATAAATGTTATCATGGTATCGTTAGTTGTAACGCAGTTTTGGTAGCCTTGACGACAATACAATTTTTATGACAATATATGCTTAGATAATATCATTTCATATAAAAATAAACGATTTCTCTGCTCTTTTTGTATAGTTAGGTAGAAATAATCGCCAATCTGCGATGCGAATATGAAAAAACTATTATAGCAGCACCTGATTAATGAATTTTCAAGGACTTCGCGATACCATGTAACGCAGAATGAAAAAACCCCTTTTCACTTAATTATGAAGACGGAAAATGATTTTTCAAATTTAATTATAATAAATTTCAAATTTTGGCTGTGCACAAAGCAGAAATGAAGAAGTAGCGCAAAAAAGTGTCGCGATACCCCTGGAGCGCTGCCCCGGATTCGCACAAGTTCAAAGTCAACGGGAGAGTAAGTATAGTGGCTGTCATTAGCACAGTTAAACAAACGAGCAGATTAAAACAGTCACTGGTACAATTGGTTATAATAATAATTGTTTTCATCGAACCAATCGCGTTCTGTTGACAAAAGTAGGTCACTACAAGTCTTTTTAACACTTCAGATGATATATGGTTAATTACTTTTTCGGCGTTTTTTATAACTTCGAGATCAGGATTTTCTGGAATATTGACTAAATATTTGTACGGTAATAAATCTTGGATAGTTTGGGTGAAGCTGAGTTCTGTTTGGCTGCTATTAGTGATGAGATTATTGGAATGTGTATCAAAGTTTTTAAGGCCGATATGGTTACACACAGACCTGTTGCAGGTGTCTAACGGATGGTCGCCTTGTGCATAGTTATTTGGGGGATGGAGTACATATCTGGGTGAGTAGTCAAGATCTACATCATCGGGCTGGCTATTGTAGGGAGGCTTACATGTACTCCGTGGACCGCTACTCAGGATGGCCGATTGTAAAATATTTGAGTGTTTGGGGTCAGCCGAACTGTCCAAATACTGCTCACAACATGTGATGCTATTGTTTGGACTGGCAGATGGTGTCGACTCTAACGGCATATGACTGCTCTTACTTATATCTACAAGCGATATACAAGGTAGTGAAATGTCGTGCCCAAGTAAACAGTGCCCGTTTATTGTTGCTGAGGGAAGATCAGAGTAGGATGCAGACTGATCAATGTGTTTATAAGTTTTCACATTATTCGCTTTAGTGACTGATTTAGATTTTTTGCAAGCGCTATAGGCGTCAGGAGAGATTGCATGTTTTTTAGATGGCCGGGACATTATTGTAAGGAATGGGAGTATGAAGTTTAATTTAGTGAACAGCGACAGTTATAATTTCACTTGATACACGTGTAAAGTTTAATGGTAGGATCAGATCCAGTATTAGTTAAGATCAAATATATTAACGTTAATTGGTGATAATAGAGAGCGTGAGAACCAGCAAAATTAAAGTATGACGTTGACAGAACCCTATCAGTGATGAGTTATCTATCGCTAACAAATGTTAAATTAAAGGGAAAAACTAATAGGAGAATTAAATAATACCACGTGAAAAAAAGTTACAACCTTCGAAATGTATTTCGCAAATATATCACGTAATTTTGATAAATTTCGTTTTATCATTGGATTATCGAAATTTATCAAAAGGAGTAATTGTTTTAAAACTAGTATAACTTGTCGAATATCATGACCAATTAGTGCTGATAATGGACTTCATAAGACAGTCAAGTGAGATATCACTTCTATCTCCACGTTTTGTAATAAACGAATCTTAGTTTTCATATTTTATTCACACATTTTACTCCACAGGGTATCTCTAAGCTAAATTTAAACCAACTGCGAGACGTCATAAGTCTAGTTACTTCTATAGGCCATTTAATTTCCTAATTTAAGAGAATAGAAAATGTCTGCTTAACCATAGCCAATGGTTGGTATATTCACTTAATGCCTACAATTCCTTTAAAGACTGTAGTGACCGAATATTTTCGAGTTTAGATGCAAATGAAGTTTAAAGCTAAATTGTTCTTGTTCTGACCATAGCTTTCACATTGCTATGTTTGAAGTGATTACGCGTTCGCTTAGTCTGCGAACGGAACAAAGACTCTGTGACCAAAGACCAATAAGCTAACCATTCTGATGCGTCCCAGCCCAGCTAGCTAGAAAGAGAATTCCAAGTTCGAAACGGGGAAATATATTCCACAAGCAGCCAGAAGCACGAGCAATCATGACCAGGCTAGTTGGAAGTACAGTTATTTATATATTGGTTTGTACACCCATTTTTCATTGAGAATCAGAATAAACCACATGTATGAATAATACTTCATACAAGAATATCGTATGTTATACAGAATAAAATGTCATAGGGAAAAACAAAACAAATACTATACTGAGTGATCATCAAGTTGAATCGAACGTAATTAATTTTGAATAAAATTCGTAATGAGTAAACCAATCTAATTTTGACTTTTCATCCTGTCATAACACACACAGACCCTGGATCTCGAGTATTACATTTACAGTCCCGGTAGAATATTTGTAGGATGAATTAAATCCTAAAGTGCATATGCATCTGGATCTTCTGTTATTTCTACTCATTAGCGTGTAGTAGCATCATAGACTCAGCTATAATTGTGAATTTTTTACATATAGTATAAAAAGTTAGGGACCTAGGACAGAGCCATGCGGCACTCCATTAACTGCTGGCTGGGGCTTTTGGAATTTATTGATTTCTGTCTACAGTCTGCCAAGATATCATTGGTCCACCTTAGGAGAGATGTGAAAATCCTTAAGTTTTCCGACTTCAAGACCCAATCTCCCTATTTTGAGAAAAATCCACAAAGTCCAAGGAAAATTGCTAGTCTTCCTCAACGTTTTGGGAGAAACCCCAAAATCAGTGTTGCCCAGTTTTCCGGACGAACAATAAATAACCAGTACACTTTTTAAATCTCAAGATGAAATGACAATTAATAATGGTAGTTTTAATATGATCATGGAATTCAGTTAGCATCCCATTACTGACGTTTAGGTTTTGTTTTAGTATGTCAAATCGACATGAGACAAAGAAGAGTCGGTTTCACACCACTTTTTTAAAAATATCACACCACGCAGTTGAGTTGTTTGTACTGTCCACTAGTTCGATTACTGCTTCTGTTGAGACTGACAACAGCTAGTTGTTTCTTTTAAACTATTAATGTAGAACATAATGAAAGGGATCAAAGACGAGTTACAAACAGCAGAGTGACAAACGTGATGAGACGCCCTCGATCAACCTTTTACAGAAGGCTGAATAAGTTAAGATCCGATTTTGAGAAGAGGTACCAGTTAACGACTACTGACGATAAAAACTACACTTCAGTCAACGTATAAGAAGTAGGCCACTGCCTGCTGTAGTTGCGTTTATTGTGCAGCAAACGGTATGGTTTAGGTTTTGTTAACGAATCGTGGATGGTGCAACTACCGAAATGCCTCCAACTGTTCACCTCTCAATGAAGCAACAGCTAGAAAGTTGCAATTGAGTTGATGAAAGGAGGTGACATATCTGTAATGATGGCCAATGAAATTTCGGTCTTCTTTCAAGTGCACATTCCCAAACTTTCTATGTCCATCCGAAATGCACATAGACGTCGCCATAATGAGGAAACAAAGCTCCTGGACACGGGAGTGTACTACCACACTAAACTGAGAACAAATTTGCTGAGAATTTCTGAAAATCAGTTACGGCGAACTGAAACTGCAACTCAACTAGTTGACCACTCGAGTGGTCCATTTCCCGTCAACTTATCAAATGGTTTGCTAAAGCCTATGTAGACACCTTTTGATTTTTCGCTATCAAGAATCCATGTCCATCGCTCTCTTGCTACGAGGAGGTTTACTGAGCAAGACAATCCCTCCCTGAGAGCATGTTTTTCACCAAGAGGAGGAGAACAAGTGGTGATGGACTAGTGGAACGATAAACTCGACAGTTTAGTCGTTGCCAGCTCCTGAGAAACTTAGTAGTAAAGATTGTATTTCTTTAGACAGTCTGAATAAGAAGATAAAGGACAAAAATATCAGCGAATATTCCGAATATTTAGAAGTGAGGTGTCTGAGCCAAATGGTAGATCACTAAAATTTGAGTGGTGGCCGGATGTCTCGTAGGACTAAGAGAGTCGACGAATTCGGAGCGGAGGCGGAACTACATTTATTCATTGATGAGCCGGAGGATTGTTGCAGACATCGTTGCTCATGCAACTACCACACAGTTTTGTTGCATAGTAAATCAAGTATAGCAATAACCGAATAAATCACTGTGCCGAAACTGGAAATGATTGCAGCGGTATTGAACGTGAGGATTAGCTTCAAATAGGAGTTTACCTGATTTTTTCCTTAAAGTGAATTTTCATGCGGAACCAATGAGTGTTGTATTACATTAATAATACTGACAGTTGTCACACAACTTTTGTAGTCAATTTCCGTAAAGTCTACAGTGTCAAGTAAGTGCAGATAAAAAATTTCTGAACGCGTAGGCATTGTTCCTTTTACGTTGTTGTAAATATATTGTTATAACTTTTAGCACTACTTGATAATATGAACTTTTAGTGCGCTATATCTGATACCAGTTGGATGGTTTCGGATTGTTATTGAAATATGCATGTCACCAATCGACACACATAATTCTCGACTTAACTCGCATTAAATACGAGGATGGATTTTTGAATACTTATATTTCGTACACCTGTTGATCTACAATAGGAAAGCGGAGCATTGCGAACTGACGCGCAATGGAGGCGGCGAGCAAGCCAATTCAATTTAGCCCAAAGTAAATCGGCATTAATAGTCGAACAAAAACAAGTTACAAAAGTGTGATGAATAAGATAAGAAGCCCAAGCACATACGCTCATGTAAAAACAGTCGAGGTCGATAAGCGAATAATTAACACGGTCAAAGTTTGACTCAAGAAGAATGGATAAACTGGTCTGTTTAAAAGCTAGAACGAGCTGTGTGGACACAACATAGCAACTGACACTAATTATTGACGGATCATGCAGGAACTTCGATTGGTTTTGGGTCCATTACAATGGTAATTTCACCTCGAAAGCCATTGAATTGCGGTCAGCTGCATTCAGACGTCCATTTTAAGTATCGTACAGAGATATAACAATAAGAACGAGAGAACTGTTGATTAAAGAACATGCAACACCCGAATCTAGCGAAATAGAAACTATATGGGTAAATAAATTGCCACATAATATTATGGAGAATGGTCTATAATCACCACACGAAATCCACGGAAATGGATTCAATTGACATTGAATGTCCCCTTGATATACCCCGCCCTCATATTACAAAAGTGAGTAGCCGGCGGTAATATGATTCATTTGAATGACTGGTGTGCGAGTTGCCTATATTGCTCAAACAATTGTAGAAAGTTACATTGAAGTTCTTTTTACCAATAAAAAATACCTCTCGTCAACAACATCGTTTTGTGAGGAGTATTTCAATCTAGGTGTTTACAAAACTACGTTAAACGCATATTGCTCCGACCTTAGTCTTCAGTACGCTCACCGGTTATCAAACTGGTTTCAGTTTCAGCTTTTTTTTACTTGCGACATTGTTATATACAGCAAACTCAGCATGCTGAGCTTTATTTATCTTATGGTCCGTATAATTACATTGGTCTGTCCTTTATTTTCTTTCCCAATTTATTCCACTGGACTATACTCCTTTAATAACATCATCAAACCTTAATGTCCCCTATCTCTACTTATACTTTCAGTACCTCTACCACTATGGGATTTGAATTGATAACTGAATCTCTGTGCTAATGTGGTATGGCAACTCGAACTGATGTACGTACGTACGAAGTTCCACGTTGTTACTGACTGACTGACTTTGAAGTTACGGGGAGATTTTCGTTTGTTCTGAGATGAGACCCACAAAAATGCCCGTCGGTCCATATATGGGCTCGTAGTCAACTGCATTTGCATCCCGTTAGTTCGCAAAGCATTAATACAGTAATTCCCTCAGTAGTTTAACAAAGCAATTATTTATGTTTTGTGTAGAGTGCGCAGTGGAATTGTGGAACAATCTAATTGATATACATATAGGCTAGTCTTTTTGTTCGGGTAAATATCAACTCACAAAATGATAAAATTTCATGGTGTGCTATATAATGGCTTGCTGACTAAAGTTGTTAACTAAAGTTGAATATTCACACTTGCGAATGACTAAATTAATATTTTACTTGGTCTTATGTAGCAAATTTTCACTTGTTATCTTGCGTACACAAATTTTATTCGCCCAGATGAATAAGTTCTTTTCACTTTTTAAGGCCGAGTTTCGTCAGCCTATTCATAAATTCTGCAATATTCACTCACTATGATAACAAAGTTTAGAAAAATAGTCACCTCATTTTCATTCTAACGGATATCATATTCCTGTATCTGAACTATTTTCTATTAAGTTACAGTGTATTTACACTATTTTCGTCCAAAACATATGGGATAGAAACAAACTATAGCTTGGAAATCGGTTCCGATGCATCTTAGGTTGGTAAAATAGATTAGTTTTAATTAAGAAACGGTGACAATGCAGTTTCCAGAAGTCTTTGAGTAGCAATGTAACCGTGTTTGGAATGCGCTTTCTATATTCTGGATACAAACATATTGCTTCTGGACTGGTCAACATTATGTGGGTTATTCATTACGAGTAAAGTTGGTGGTCTCTTATGTATTACTATATGTATCACAGCCCTCACACAAATCAAATGAGATTTGTGTGGCGCATATGTATTTGGTGCCTCCTTGTACTAATATCTGTGTGTTCAAATAATAATAATGATTGCTATATGACAAACGTGGTCTTTGAAAGTAGACGTGAGTTGCAGTTTTGTGATCATTGGCATGTTTGTCGCATTGCTCAGGTGTCGTAGGAAGTTTGAGTAAACAACATTGAGGTAAAACAAGGTACTAGGGGAAGATAGGGAGTCGGTTAATGTGGTTGGAAAGCTTCATCGTCTGAGGTAGATGGGCATGTTTTACGTATGTCTAAATGTCATCTATCTTGAGGGTCTATGCCAGCTGGTGTAAGAGTAGGTGTGAAGGAAACTAAGCTTGGTCATTAAATCAGTGATTGTTGGTCCGAGTCGTATTAGCAGATACAGGCTACCTGGTTGGGGCCCACCCGATAACTACAATTATTGATTGGAGGCGTTAAGTAAAGTGACTCAGAATTAGTCTCAGTAGAGCTAATGGATTTGCTGTCCATCTTTATTTAGATTTTAAGTTCCAGTATTCTTTCATCCTTTTTTCATTCTGTCTCCTCAAATCATATCAATAGGTTAGTCTTTTTCATCATTACTGTTATATTATTTCTACTCGGCCATTCATACTTCTGATTTTATCTTGCCTTACCGATGTGGTTTGACAACTGTACGTTGATTAGGACTGATTGGCCAACTGTTAACTGTTGTAAAATGGGAAAAGAATTTCGTCGCTTTCGCAAACTTTGGAACTAAATGAGATATGTGGCAGTAGGGACAGGATTATCTTAAGTTGATTGGGAAATCTAATCAAAATATGCATATAACCACTCAGTCGTCGATAATAATACAACTGGAAAGTCTTTGTTTACTTTTGTTGAGCCGCTCTTATTATAGTTCTGTCTAGAGGATTAAGAAATTGTTCATATTTAAATATATTTTCTTAACGCTCACGTGTGACTTAGTGTTTCCTTAATTGAAATATATATTTACCTTTTTTATGTAAAATTTCTCTTTATCATTTTGAAATCTTTTAGATAGTGTATAGCTTGATCGATGTCTAACATATTTGAAAGTAATAAAGATATTACAACTGAAGATGGAAGGCTGTTGTATAAATTTTTCAGCTTACTTTATATTTTTGGAGGAGCGGTTCCTTATATTCCACAATATTTAAAAATTCGCAAAACACAATCTATTAAGGGTTTTTCCTCATTTGTTTGTTTTATACTTTTAATATCGAATATTCTAAGAATATTGTTTTGGTAAGTTTTTCATTATTTCATTTACTAATTGTGTTTTTAGTGGAATAAGTAGTTACCTCTTCTTTTTCGAAACCATACTGAAAATCATTGGGTTATAAGATAATGTCCCAAGTTCTAAACTTATATGTTTTTTTACAGTGAGAACTGTTCGATAAAGTATACATGACAATTAGATACTATTGAGGCGATAGTATATACTGTTTCTTCTATTAAGATCTTGGTTTTTAATGTTTCATCTGGGACGTTTATTTATTTACTTAGTACTTTAATATTACGAAAGATTGAAAGATTATTACTGAAGGTATATTTTACAATGGACTCGATCATATAATCACAACCGTCCCGCACTATTTTTATATTAGTGCCATATTTGGGTAAAGTGTGCTTCAGAACCCTGCAAAGCTGGTCACTCCAAGTTTGTTTCTTAGTAGTAACCACATGAATTGAAAATCATATCTAAGTTCATGCACTCGGCTTCAAGTTAAATTCTCGTCTGAGAACTAGTTTACCAAGTGGCTCCCGATATATAAAGAATTGAAGTTGGCTTCTAACTTCCAGAGATGGCTGTAGGTTGATTGCTTTGATCACTAAGCAACTACTCCCCAAGACGCCTCTTAGTATTATAAAATAACCTAACACGTTTGTTTACTGTGCATTGTATCCTGATTTTTTAGACATTTCAAATACTGGTTTATTGAATTACAGTCAAGTGAACCATGTTCTGCCTAAATTTTTAAATTTTTTGTGTGGTACTAATATGACGGGCATGAATCAGTCTGGATAGTCAGTCCTTAATTCATTGGAGAATGAGTGACTTAAGAACTGATTTATTTCAGTCACCTATGTTATTTTACTGTGCTATTTTTTGTGTTTGTCTTATTTATAGGCATGTAGTCCCTTTTTCATTACATAAGAGTGCTATTCTGACTAGTGATTTTTTTATTTATTTCAATAGTCCGGTCTTGTAAGCAGTCGTCACTCAGCCACATTGTATCGCTGAATGTCATCTGCTGATTAGGATTGTTTACCTTAACTTAAACAATCGAAAATTCGCTTATCAGATCATTAGAATTATAATCTATGGCAAATAATTCATTATATTATCAATTTGGTTGGTACTGCATGTGGCTTGTTTCTTATTGTATAAAAGGAATGATCAAATATATATATTTTGTTATGCTTTTCTTTGCTTTGCAATTATAATTTTTCTGAATAAAATGTTATACAATATGGAGGGGAACAGAGTACATTTCATTCTCATAACATCCGGAAAGCGTATAAAGGAGGAGCTAGATAAACGCTAAGCACGAAAACTGGGAATTTAGTTGGGGCCATTATTTTTTATCTCATTGGTTCATGTCGAAATATCCTTTGGATTTCTACTCTTTCCAATTTAGCGCCACATCATATCAAGCTTTAAGTCACTTTGCATCATCTTCAGGGTATTGTTCAAGAAGTCGCGACACACTTATATACTCTCATCCAACACCTGTAGTTTATCTCACAGCGTCTTGTCATAAGTAATTCCGTTTTTCAACCTCTTATGGCGGTAGCAATTACTACTCATCGTGATAGTCTCTGATAAGGTAATGTCTCTACTGCTATACTACTAACGGAAGTTGAATATTATCGTTGAATTAACAAGAATTTTGGAGTGAACATTGGCCTAGAATTCGAAGTTTGTTTTATTGGTTGATAAATAGAAAGCCTTAACCTGATCGCAACCCAGTTTGTATAACCTCTTAAGTACTGATCAGTTTAACCTCCCTTCCCATATATATTAATGCATTATTTTCTCGTTATAGGTTTGTACAGCCATTTTCAACCGCCTTACTTTTTCAAAGTTTCATTATGATTGTTACTATGCTTATTCTATTGAGAACTATTACTCAGTTGTCTAGCATAAAGCGTTCTCCGTCTATGCCATGTACAATCAGTATTAGGAAAGTAGAGACAGAGAGTTGGAGTATCAATCAGTTCCAAGGTGAGTTGTTAAAGTATTAGAACGTTTCAAAATATTGGTTTTTCGTTTCACTGATTTGCTCGTTTCAAATATCTCTCGAAGATTGCTTTTGTTAATTGAGGTTTTACGTTTAGGTGAAATTTTGCTTTCAGATGATTAAATTATGCAACTGTATTCTTTTAATGATTGCAGAGTTGTAAATCATGTGGATATTAATTTATTTAATTTGGTTGAGTTATTGAACTGTATTTGTAGATGTATTAAGTGCATCTATAAGTCTATTATAAAAATCTGTACTTGTTTATTCAGTCAAATTCACCTTGAAAATGAAGATATGGACAATTGTTTTTTCACGTGGTCATGAGGTTATTTTCAATCCTCTTATATTGACGATGTTTTATGATTTATGCTGGAGACAACATGGGTTGAGTGCTTATGCCAATAAAAGTACAGACACGCCTAAAAGTTTTCTTGAAATTGTCGTAGTAAAAAAATGGTTCTTGAACAGATTAATGATAAAGTGATAAAACGTCCGATTAAGTGCGTTCAGAGAAGTACGGAAAAATATATGGGCATATATCTCAGGAATAGGTTAGAAATAAACATTGCAATAATTTCCTTTCTCAACCTAATATCGGTTTTATCCTTTTTTATATGTCTTTAAACTATCTTTTCCGTAAATTTCATGAAAGAGAACCTTAAATACTGCAGTAAGTAAGCGAATTGTTACATGGGGTGCCCTCCTTGGGTTAAGCGACTGTACATCGTAACTTGTGTTGTTTGATGCGAGGTGTTTGAGGGTAGTCGACTAGAACAATTCAGTAGTATCTGTTCTGCTCTTGAAACTATCGGCTGTAGTCCTATAGGAATTTGATAAATGCCAACCAATAAGTAACCGAGGTTCAGGGTTGTTTGACAATCTCATATAGCTACCTAACAGATGGAGTAAACATAAAGTCAGTCTGTATATACACTTTTCACAGTAAATAAGCCCATAACTAGCTAAAATGTTTTCTACCAAAATAGGGTTAAGTAGACTGAATATACTCATTATCCAACCATTTCATGTTGAAGAATTCTAAAAGTAGTAACCATAATATGGTAACCTTCTCAATAGATTTCTCTTGCTCTGAGCTGTCGCTTATTACCTGAAGGAGATAGCTAATCACTCTATGGTATAAATTCTTCACTTTTTTATGATAAAATGACATTGGTTGTAGCATTTTTGTCGTTTAGGCCATAAGTGGTTGATCATGTGATTGTGTCAGTACTGATACTAGTTAATCTTCATAATGTTCGTACACACTCATCTTAATATGCTTGATGATATAAAACATTAAATCTATCACTTTTATTATGATCAATATACAACTTTTAACTACTTAATCACCTTTATTTTCTGTCAGTGGATGGTGGATATGGCTATACGCGTAAAACTTCTCAAAGTTCTCATAGGCACCGTTATGCTTGGTGGTCAGAGCGTGATGAAGAGTTAGGAGCAGGAGCTATACCTGGTTAATCCCGGAAACTTCCAAGTCGTCCGAGCTGCTAACAGCTAGATGCGTAGTGTATATGAAACATCCTGTGAGGTTGATGGCACGCCGATTAGTAATCTTCAAGGACACTTTGAATGCTAAGTAGGGTACTTTGTGGGATAGCTTAGCTGGTTTCCTACTACTCAAACAACATCAACGAACCTATCCTGTTCTTGGAATGTGTTTATCAATACACTGAACGAGGCGGAGCTCCGAAACGAACTCCGGCTTCTGGAGCATTCCTAGTCACCAATCTCAGACAACCTACCCTCAACCCTTTTCAACGATAGAGGCAAACATCTGCTCAGAGAACTTACCAAACCGTTTGGAAAGATTTAGCAATTTAAGAGCGTTTTATCGTCCTGGACTGAAGCGATTGTCGATTCATATCTTTGAGGGGTCTATTTAGAGGGTGCAATAATATCGACGGTAAGAGTCTTATAATTGCATCTAAAGTATTTAGCTCCTTCTTGCTTCTAGAATTGTGCAATTCTTGTGAAAAACTGACTTATGATAAGCAGATTAGTTTTCTTTCGTTCTGTTCTATCATTTCTGACATTTCATATACATCGATCATTTCCTAGAGTTTACTCATGTTTGTTTGACACTGAAGTGATAGTCCGTTTAGTATGATGGTGTTATAACTGTGTGAGAGAGCGAATTATTGATCGGACCAGAGACGCGTAAAACACGTAAGAACAGTCTAGAGTTCTGATTGGTCGTGCTGCCCTGTCTAGCCTAGCCAGTTGAGTCCAGAACGCAAGTTTCAGCCTCTGTGATATGAATCATTATATTTCAAACATACTCTGTTTATATACCAAACAAACAGACTACATTGTACCATAAAATAAAAAGTAACATTTGTACAAGATTTGACCTCCAGGAAGTGACCAATAGGGAAATGACACGTTGGAAGAATACTGACCAATGGGGAAATGACACCATTTCTCACTCAGGAATATTATTAGATAATTTCTGGGGTATTTTCTGAATACCCCAACACATGGTCTCAGGTCATCAAATCAGGTGGGTTATGTCATTTCAGCTGCTTCCAAAATGCATTAGGTGCTTACTCTAATACTGGGTGAAAAATTGGAATCGCTAGTTCACAGCATATCATCGTGGAATGAAAGGTTGATGCATACGACTAGCAGCTATTAGCCTAATCTAATTTCCTGATTAGGTTTATTATGCAGCTCAATAGTTTGAGATGTCAGATATAGGTTAAAGCAAAGGTCAATGGCTATCGGGCTGTAGTTTTTCACACAGTTGTTATAAACACGAGAGTAATTTCAACTGTAAGAAGTCTTCTCTATATTTTTTATTAAATTGTATATTTTATTAAATACCATTCGTGTTTATTTGTTTATTGATAATATGATGTTCCCCGCTTCTATTTTTTCATTATAGTGTCATTCTACATTGCATAGTAAATTCTTCTGAATGCTTTTTACCGAAATGTTCATGTGTTTTAAATAAACATTTATTCTGAGCAAATTGTTCATGCTTAAGATTAAATTATGTGGAAGTATGATTAATTCATTTTTGGAATAAGTTGTTTACTTTATGAATGGCTAATACATGTGTTGAATACATGGATGTTTAATCAAGAGTATATTCTGTTACTTGATTTGGAAGACATCAGAAATTACAAAGCAATTATTGAAGCTGTTTGGAATAGATGTAGCTTACAAATCAACAAAATCACTTAAATCAATCCTATGCAAACTAAAAAAATAAATGATTAAGGAGGAAAAAACTTCCGTGATCTAAAAAATAAACTGTTCCAACCACTAAGAGCGCTACATTGGGCAAAATAGACACCCCCTTTATCTTCGTCTCCACGAACACTAATTAGCGGCCAAACGCCATGACATATCCTCGCTTATATAAATGCATGTGGACAACTGTAGATACATTCAACTGAAGAAATGTTGAGATCTTGGATAAAGGGAATACTAAAAACACTAGAGGGTTTTTAGAAGCCTGGCACTGAGGTCGATTAGTAATCACCAAACGCATTGAAATCGATCCAATCTATCAACCACTCAGAAAAATTACCAGCGTAGGGTTGTGGTAATCATGAATTGATCAATGTTAGACCATCAGTGAAAACCTAGAATCAGTGGACGGCCGTCTCGTCATAGGATGGGACTCCTTAGCAGTACTATTGGTTAGAGGTATGAAGGCGGTTATCACTTCCCGGTCGCCCATACTGTGGAAGGGTTCTACTGGAGGTACCTGAAAAGGAAATTGGTTTAGAGGTGGTCATAGTGACCTGAGAGCGTGACCGCAGTTCCCAGGGGACAGCTGCTTGAAGTCGGTCACACACGACCTTTTTATGAGTAATTTTCGTGTTAGCTCCGTACTTGTTGAGACCTTACCGTTGGAGACGGATATCCGTGGGATAAGGCGAGGTGTGCATTTTTAGGGTCGACCTTTTCTAACCCCACGGCACCCCTCCTTGTGGGAAGACAGTATCGCTGTCATGCTGGTTGTCTGAAGGAAACACCTTACTGCTGTCACACCTCTGTACAGTCAGCAGTACGACTTCGCCCTCGGACCTTGGATTTGTTGCTTTTACTCTTACCGCTCTTCGACCGACCTGTGTGGCATGGTAGGACCTTGAGGAACGGTTGTTCCAGCCAGAATAGCTCAGTTGCTTCATCACGATAGGCAAGTCCGACCACCAAGTCAAGGTAGCAACAACGGTCGGGACTCCTTAGCAGTGTTCATCCATAATTCCGCGTGCGGGATCTAAGACTACTAATCTTTGTGTTAGTGTTTTAGAGATTGCCAGAGTGAGAAATACTTGGATTTATTAGAGCATTAAGAACAAGATGAAAATTGTAAACTTTAGTGATTTATTCAAAAATCAGTATGTACATACATTAAACATATTCTCGTGATACTGGTTTTACTTTTAACATTAATATAATATAGGTAATGTTGCTCTCTTGCATTATACACCTTTTTTTATGTTTTATCCCTATTGATTTATAATTTGGTCCTTTCATTTCTTCTGTAAATATCTTGACGTGTTAATTCATAATCATGTTTGACAGAGTGTATTTCCCTTGTAAATAATCGAACCAAATTAACATTTGTGCTAATTTTATTTGGTTATTTATTTATTAAACTATGAAACGTCGTAAATTCTGTTTCCTACTCATTGGATACCAAAAATAAAACACTATTTTACTTCTAATTTCCATTTTAGTAGAATTGGAAATTTATTAAGAGGAAGTATTTAATGAGCAAGAATAATTAAATGAGTTACTTAATTATTTTAACATAATAATGATGAATGTATATTGTGTCATTAGCATTGACCCTAGTATTATTAACATCCCATCAATTTTAGTGTATTATCTTACGTCTATCATATTGCAGTCAGCCGTAATAACGAGGAATTCCTTTCTCTGGTTTGTTTTATGTTTACATTTCGCATAGATGTCTGGCTTCGTAATTTTTGGAAATGGACACATTTCTCCAACTATTTATTATTCTTATGTTTATTTACACTAATTTCCGGTCTGTGCACTTACTTATTGTCATCAAGTCAAATTTATATTCAATTATTGGGCTTTACTGCCTTGTTTATCGAATCTATGTTGGGTTTACCACAATTCACAAAGAATTTTAATAATAAATCGATTGTTGGAATGAGGTAAGTGGTTAGTAGTTTAATTCGAAAGTTTTCATACTTGAAGTGTTCTAAAGTTAAACCTGTACACCACTGGATTCCGGCTCACTGGTCTAGAGGTTAAGCGTTTTCATTCGAGATCGAAGGTCCTGGGCTTGGCTACTGGATACAGAGACTTGTATGTACACTTTTGAAACCTTCCACACTTGGACGAAATGGCTGCCCAGCGCATCCAGGTTTTCATTGGTGGCTTGTCTAAGACAACATGTTTTGGGTGACCACCCAGAGCAAAGAATCTCGAGAGAGCGCATAAAAATGAGTCAGAATCCAAGGTGTGGGCTATTTCGATGTGAACTGCCCTAATAGACAGGCAAGTGAACAAACAACCGTATCGTTTTTCAACGACCCGCCTCTTAACGTAAAACGGTCTAAAATAGTCTATGCCAACCAGCTCCCAGCTGACGAGGAAATTAGGAAAAGACGATGGAAATGGATAGGACATACAATAGGCTGTTGCTGATGGTATCCGACAGTGGATGTTGAATATCTTGCGTAGACAGCTACTGATAAATACTTGTACCTTCTTGATGGTGGTTCTTGTAGTTCTCCACGTTTCAGCTCCGTACAGTAGAACTGCCTTGACGTTGGTATTGAAGATTCTGACTTTGATATTGGTTGAAAGTTGTTTTGAGTTCCATATGTTCTTCAATTGAGGGAATGAAGCCCTTGCTTTGCCAATCCTCGATTTTACGTCTGCATCTGAACCTCCTTGTTTATCGATGATGCTTCCCAGGTATGTGATGGATTCTACATCTTCCAGAGTTTCGCCATCAAGTGTGATTGGATTGCTGTTCTCCGTGTTGTATTTGAGGACCTTGGTTCTCCCTTTGTGTATGTTGAGGCCTACTGATGCAGAGACTGCTGCTATGCTGGCTGTCTTTATCTGCATTTGTTCGTGTGTATGCGATAGGAGAACTAGGTCATCTGCAAAGTCCAAATCGTCTAATTGGTTCTGAGCTGTCCATCGTATGCCGTAGTTTCTCTCAGATGTCGAGGTCTTCATAATCCAGTCGACCACCAGAAGAAAGAGGAAGGGAGAGAGTAGACAGCCTTGTCTTACTCCGGTCCTTACTTGGAATGCGTCTGTCAGCTGTCCTCCATGCACTACTTTGCACTGTAGTCCATCGTATGAGTTCCGGATAATGTTGACAATCTTCTCAGGAACTCCGTAGTGTCGAAGAAGTTTCCATGACGTTCTTCTATCTACACTGTCAAATGCCTTTTCATAATCAATGAAGTTGGTGTACAGTGATGAGTTCCACTCAAAAGATTGTTCGACGATGGACTGTGCACGACCGATCCTTGCGGAACCCAGCTTGTTGATCTCGAAGTTGAGCGTCTACTGCCTCTTTCATACGTTTCAGCAACACTCTGTTAAAGACGTTTCTTGGTACTGACAGTAGTGTAATGCCTCTAGTTTTCACACTTGCTCAGATCTTTGTTTGGAATCTTGATGAGGTGTCCTTCTTTCCAGTCCATCAGCACTTGTTCCTCCTCCTAAATCTTCTTGAATAGAAGATGAAGCATGCTTGTAGTTACTTCGATATCTGACTTCAACGCTTCAGCTGGTATATTGTCGGGTCGTGTTGCTTTCCCGCTCTTGATTTGTCTGATGGCCATTCTGATTTCTTCCGTCGTTGGTGGGTTGACATCTATGGGAAGATCTGTGTGTGCTGCTTCGATGTCCGGTGGATTCATTGGGGCCCGCCTATTCAGGAGTTCCCCGAAGTACTCTGCCCATCTGTTCCTCTGTTGTTGAATTTCAGTGATTGGTCTGCCTTCTTTGTCTTTGACCGGTCTCTCTGGTTTAGTATATTTCCTTGCTAGTTTCTTCGTTGTATCGTAAAAATGTTTCATATTTCCTTCTTTTGTAACTTTTTCCGCCGTCGTTGCGAGTTCTTCCACGTATTTCTGCTTGTCGGCTCTAATGCTCCTCTTCACTTGCTTGTTTGCTTCTGTATATTCAGCTTGTGCTTGGACTTTCTCTGCTCGTGTTCGACTGTTGTAAATTGCTGTCTTCTTGTTTTTGCTTCCTTTGATCCTGTCCAGTGTTTCTATCGAGATCCATTCCTTGTGATGATGCTTCTTGGGGCCCAGAACTTCTTGACACGTTGAAGATAATGCTTCTTTGATACCTTTCCAGTTGTCCTCCATAGTAGTTTCTTCTTCCTTCAGTAGATCCTGTAGGGCTTGGAATCTGTTGTTGAGAGCTATCTTGAATTCATTGAGTTTGTTGGTATCTCGAAGGAGGGCTGTATTGAACCTTTGTAGTGCTGTTTGTCCAGTTGTCCAGTTCTTCTTTAGCTTCAGTTTTAAATTAGCCACAACCAGGTGGTGATCTAAAGCTATATTCGCTCCTCTCCTGGTTCTCACATCTTCCATTGTCCTTCGGAACTTTTTATTGATGCAAATATGATCTATCTGATTCTCTGTGGTGTGGTGTGGTCCGGTGAGATCGATGTAGCTTTGTGTATACGTTTGTGTGGAAATATTGTGCCACCTATGACCAATTTATTGAATGCACACAGATTTGCAAATCTTTCCCCGTTTTCGTTTCTCTCTCCCAGTTCATGTAGTCCATGAGGTGTCATATTTTTTCTAAATGAAGACCTAACTCTCAGGGCAGAGTTTAAATGGTTTAAGTTATTTTTTCTGGTTAGCGTTTTTTAGCGAGTTAGTTTTCTACGGGATGGGGACACTAACTCCATGCCCAACCCTCTTCCTTTACCCGGGTTTGGGACCAGCAGTAACTCTAGGAGAGCTACTGGCGGAGTTTAACGTGTCAACACTGGTTGATAAATCGTCAACGTAGAACTGCTCCTTTGCTGTCTGTATAATACATTCGGGAAACCTAGCCTCGTTATGTGTGATAGTTCTTTTTAAAGCAAACGTTGCGCAACTTGGTGAGGAGGTCGCACCAAACAAATGTACTTTCATCTTATAAGTTTCTGGTTCAGTTCTTATGTCACCCTACGGCTACCATAAAAATTTAAGAGCATAGCGATCCTGTGGCGGTACAATCGCTTGATGAAACAGCTTCAATATCTGCCGTGAGACCTATTGGCCGTCACCGAAATTTGGTGGAGACATCTACCAGATTGTTAACTAAATCTGGACCAGAATACAAGTTTTTGTCCAGAAACTTCCCAGCGTATTGTGTTGCACAGTCGAATACGATTCCTACCTTATTAGTTTTTTTCGGATGGAAGACAGGGTAGTGCGGTAAATACCAAACCCGACATCTAATGAGGTTCTCTGTAGCCTTTTCGGCGTAGCCCCGATCAACATACTATGCCATCACATTAACATTCTATATGCAATCTCTGGTGACGGATGAGCCGGTTTCTCAAGGAATTTAATTTACTCATCGCTAGTTTTTTATTATTATGTAGACTTTGGTGGTGACGCCAGGGCAAAGCTATTTGGTAATGCCCGTTCACTAACTGTATAGATTTGGACATTGCATTTAAGTCTTTACGATCTTCAACCGACATAGGCGCACGTTGATTCGGGTCTTCTTCAAAGTCCATCTTATATAATTGGTCTAATCTAGCCTCTACTTCATCTTTAGACAATTGATAATTTACGATACCCATATTTCTCGTGGTCTCACTGTAAGGTCCAAACAACGTCCACTCTAAAGGAATTTTTATAGCGTATGATTCCTTAGGTTTTCCCGCTCTCCTTTTTATCGCATGTGCCTCATGTACATTGTACCCTATCAGTACTTTAACGTCTTTGTTGTCAATTCTTGGAAGGGTCACACCGCGCAAGTGAGACCACGATGCCATCTGAGATATTGTTGATACCGTTCCATGAAACATAGGTAATCTCTCAACTCTCCACACCTTTGAAATTCAGTGATGAAGAAGAATCTTACAATGAAATGTGGACTGGCTATCCAGCGTTTTCAATAAAAGCGTCTTGAATTCTTCCTCTAAACCCAACCTTCTAGCTAGATCTTCTGTAATAAGCGAAGTGTCTGAGCCACTATCTAGGAAAGCGCAATTCTGTACCGCCCTTTCTCCACTTTTTACCAATACAGGTACTATTTCAAATGCTACTGGTCTCTGTACACGCTAGCACTTTCCTTCGTACAGAGTTGGGTATTGGTATGGACATTACTATTACTGTCTCTCTACTCTTCCCGCTTCCTGTGTAACAAGGTGTGGTGTCCCCGGCCACATCCTTCGACGGCACATGACCTCGGTGCCCGACGGTTTCTCGCTTTGTGGTTCGCCTTCAGACAGACACCGCACAACTCCCTTAATACAAGCTCTATCCCTTCAGTAATATCCTTATCTCTAAACATTTCTTATTGGTCTAAGGGGTGGTTTCCAGTACATAATAAACGTGACAACTTAAAGGTGCTTGATCTTACATGTGGAGCGACATCAGACCCACTCGCGTTAGCGAATGACACTCGCCTTATACTCTGAATCAAGGTTTCTTTTAGTAACAACAACCGACTGCCTTCAGTTTCGTTTGTAACGATCTTCACTGACAAGTAGTCTGTATCTGGTATTAACAATATCCGACTGCTCCTTCACAAATTTGCAAAGGTCCTTAAATAAAGGCTTTCTACCCTTCTTAAGAATTCTACATGCCACTTTCGCCCATTTTCTTTGTAAGTGTGGTGGGAGTTTCAAAAACATGCTCTCGATAGTCTTTGTAGAATTCAGATTGGATACATTGTTCATCTGCGTGAATTTTAGCTCACAAATCTACATCTCATGAGATAGTCTTCTTAAATTATCTGGATTAGTCCCCTTAATAGCAGGGATGTTCAGCATCTTACCAATAAATGCATGGGCTAAGATGTGCTTCTCACCGAATACTTCCTCGAGAAGCTCTAACGCCTTACGATAGCCTTCTTCTGGTTCGAGCAATACACAATGAACAGTAGTAGATTTAGCTTCACCATCACAATACTGAATCAAATAATTTAACCTAGATCGACTTCCAACACTTTCGTCGAAGCATTCTACGAAATTCCGTATGAAACTCCAAAAGTTCACGGGATTACCATCAAACATGATCTCTCTTTTTGGTAGGTCTAAAGCTTTAGATATCATTGTTATTCAGTCCTTTCCAGGAGAAAGATCAACTGCATGTTGGGCAGATGTAGACTCGTACGACGTCACCTTGCCAGCCATAACTTGACTATAATGTTCTCTCTCCTTTTGACATAACCTTCCCAACTCAATTTCTTTTTCTGTCTGAGCTAAACGTACTCTAGGTAATTCTAACTCTAACAGGGGATCCGTTCGGTAGCTGTTTCCTGCGAACTGGTCATCACTATGAGTTTCTGAATAGTGGGGAGATTATTCAGGAATCAGATCAGTTTTATGATTCTCCGTATGAATTTTTGATGAGATACTGATCGAAACTTGGTAGGATTTAATTTGTCCTACAGACATTCTGCTAGAACTGTAAACGCGATACTGGTGACCCCAGAGTCTATGTGAAAGCTATGATCAAAACAAGGACAACTTGGCTTTAAACTTTATCTGTTTCTAAACGTGAAAACAATTAGATTAGTACAATAATTAAAGGAATTATAATCATTAAGTAAAACCCATAAACATACCGATCATTATTGCGTGAATGAGTCACACTAATATAATAGGATAATAATGTCCTTCAATTGGCAGGTTATACACAACGGGGATAGTCTACAAACACACACAGATTGATTTGGTGGGAGCTTAAGCAACAATTTGATTGGTTAGTCATGGACATAACTAACACGAAGTTCTCACTGACATTTATTATTGTACAAACCTCTTGATGAACCATCTAAACCTTTTTAAGCCAGACAAACAGGGATACTAGATTGAATCCTTACAAATTAGATTAAATAATAACAAATAGAGGCTACTTACCACATTTCCTTGAGTTGTAACGTTTGGATAGGGGGAAAACTTAGTGAACTTTATGGATCAGTTTCGCTGGTTTCATTACTACATTAATCTAAGTGAAGTTCAAACGAACAGTGGAAATGGAACCAACCTTGATACTGAGGATGAAATGATGTTTGGCCTTTGCATCAATGGAAGAGATTGGATCGGTGAAAGATATAACTGGGTGTTTCTCGTTAATTCACTGACAATGTTGGTTTAAATAAATGCTCCAGTTGATCCTGAATATTAGGTTTTAGGAGCTCTACTTGCATGGATATATGCCACACACATGTCTAGCTCTCAGGAATGTAATGTTAACACTGAAAAAATAAACCAGAAATGTTGTTTTCATTTCTTAGTTGTTCGGGATGCAGATGATCTAGATATTGAAATTAATTATCTGTTTATAGTACAGAGCACTAAATCACATATAACCCTGATCTTTCACGACTGTCTTATTAAAACATAGTTCATTTCTTGGTTATCAATAAATTTATATTTTAAATTGTAACATTTTGTAGAATCAATATGAATTGTGATTGCTTTTGGCATTTATCGAACTATCTTGCGAAGCTCTATAAGTATTGTGAAATTCCCTTTGAATGCATATATATATACCGATCAATTAGAATTTAATATAATTGTATAGAATTCTAGAAAAATACTGTTTAGCTAATTAAATCTTAATCTAACTGTCCTGGTTTACGTACTTTTTTATTTCACGACTCATTCATTAAAGTTTGCCTTTTAAGTTGCACTTTATCGTTATTGTTGATTTTGTTTGGTTGCTTTTCACATTAAGTAAAAAAAGATTCTTTTGAATGGTCTAATTTTGTTTCAATTTATTTGTTCTATTGATTACATTAGCAACTCGTTGAATTTGAATTGTGTGCAATTTAATTGATTTTTAATGCTGTCACATTTAAATGTATGCGGATTTAATTATTTGAAGGTAATTTTCGTCACGGAGGCCTTGGAAAACAGTGTCACTTGTTTTATCTGGGTTAAGGATCCCCGAATAACTCGTACATATGGTATCGCACGACATCTAAAAGAGAACTATCGACACTGTGATGTACACCGTATCTTTGGCTGACTGAATTAGAGTCCGATGTCGATATTTCCGAATTCAATAGATATCTGAAATAATTAAGGTAATAAGTAACTTGTTTGTCAGTAAACATGTTGAGATGCCTTAATAAAGGTTACCGGTCCGGCTCATGGTTAAATACAGTTTTTTTCTTTGAATTCAATTAATTTAAGTCATTGTATTGATGATGTTAGGATATGAATAAAATAAATGAAATTTATGCATTTTCAAATGAAAATTAGGACCATGATAATGAAAGTGCATCTACCAAATGTTGGATTAATTCTAAAAACTTAATAATGTTATTATTTATTTATTTGAACACATAAACATTGGTGCAGGGAGGCGCTAAATACACATGCATTACACAACAATGATGCTGTGAAGAGATAGAGAGTGGAGGGTGAGTAAGGCAGTAAGACGATATCATCCGCATCTTCAAGGTCGAAAAGTCTTTCTCGAGGTAGCAGATCCACATCACCACTACTTCCATCCATCAGAGCTGTTTCCAGAACGTCATCGATGGCAAAGTTGGGGAGGAATATTAAGATCGAGCAACCGTGCCTAAACATGTTAAATTAATGTAAAACTTGCCTATCTCTATCATCATTATCAGATTTACAAAGTTGAAATCTGGAAAGCTTTTAGTAGTCAGACTGTTGATCATGATTTGATTGATATACGTTAGTCTCAAGTAGGATGGGTGATTTAGTCTCATATCATGTGTTGAGTTGTCGAAGGTTTCACTTTTTGAAAGTTAGAAACTTGTTCCACCAAATCTTTAAAAGTAGATTACTTTTCATTTGTGACTGTCAACAAATTGTCTTAAATTTAACAAATTCAAACTGATATTATTATCTTTCGTTTTTTGTCATTCTCAGTATTTCAATGGTGTTAATGTGGACTTCAGGTGATATATTCAAAACAATTTATTTCATATTAGAAAATGCTCCATTACAGTTTCCAATGTGTGGTTTACTACAGATTGGATTAGATCTAGCCATTCTTCTACAATGTTTATTTTATAGAGGTGAAGGATTTACTTGAATGTGAATGTTGCAGTTGGTCGAGTCAACATCTATAGCGAAGACAATGATGTCAGTTTGTATGTGATTGTGGATAATAGATTTACTTTTCTTGTTTAGTTTATCTGAAATATTTATCATTTTGTACTTCAGTTGTAGAGAGATCCTTTCTACACCCATCAATTTGACGTACCAATTCTCTTTTTATTTTCAGACCTCATCTAGTGACATTGTATATTGGTCTAATTTTTGTTATTGTTCACTTTTCTATTTTCTCTGCAATTCCCATGTATTTCAGCTTAAAGTCAACATGGAGCGATTACTATAACCCTCTGATTATGTCATTTTTGTCAGATTGTTCGGTCTACCATATGTGATGATGACGAGTTTATAAACAGTTAATAAATTTGTCGCTTCAGGATCGACATTCTTCTGTGTCACTAACTTCTGTAGTATACACATTGAACAGCTGTTATTTATTGACAAAAATCATTCATTGAAGTCGACAACTGATGAGTGTTTCTGATTAAATGAAATCTATAAATTTAAAAGTGTAATTCTCATAGCAAGACTTGAATGTTTAGATGATTACGAAAGAATGAGTTAAGTCTGATATTTAGGTCATAATTTCATCGTCAGTTGAGTGACCCGTGAAATATATACCATTCAATAGATCATCTCCCAATTATCTTTTAATCATGTTTACTCTTTTGTTCAACATTTCATATGTAGGGATTTTATGTCATCAATTGATTGGTACTGATTTGATCAATTTTAACCATCTGAACCTCGTTCTCCATTCATGATTAATCCTGATTCATTCGCATCCGCAGCTTTGTTTACACGGTGATAAAAAGCCTTAAACCAAGATTAGACAGGTGTCTAACGTTGTATGTTAATCTTCAATATTTCTCCAGCTGTGATATCAGTTCATGATGATAAGGTGATTAATTTGTTTACCCAAAAACTAATCGTTAAGTTAGGGCAGTCACTAGTGTTAAGTGATTTATTTATCGGTATCTGCTTAGTTAGATTAAATCTCTTTATTCATATAAACTTAATCTTACTTAATCAATTATTGGTTGTTTCTGACTAAAATACACTTCTGAATAAACAATTTCTTCCGGTTTCTTCATTGAATATGTACTGCTTGTGGAAAACGGTTATTATGACTTCTTAAAAATTGAATGACTAGTTCATCCACCTAACCAGGGATTATTGACCATTTAGGTCATTTAACTGCAAGTTATTATTCGACGGATCGAGCTTCACGAATAGTTTGTCTCCCTTTATTTTTTATCTGAATTTGACAAGCCTCGATAGCATGAATTAACGATTGAGTGAAGGAGCAGTTTATGTTTGTAATTCAGTTATTGATAAAGATTGCCCGTGGTATGTGGGTTGCAATCCGGCTTCTGTTTGGGCACCAGGGCAATATCCCAGCCCCCACACAAATCGAATTATTTATGTGGCGCATATCTATTTGGTGCCTCCTTGTACCAATGTTTGTGTTTTCAAGGTAAGTAGATGCAATAAAATGAATTCGTTGCTTTAATTCTCTTTTAACTTCGATCGGACCGTTTAATACAACAGTACATAAGTAGTAAGTAGGATGGATCCAGTCAACTAGTGTAATTTCAGCTCTAGCGTCGGATGGAATATGGTGTTTTTGAATTTATAAGTGTGAAACCTAACTATTTTAATTGATGAAGTCATGAATTCAGATTTCTGGTTTACATCATACACAAATAACTAAACTTGTCATAGTTCTAATTAGATCTGTCGCTTTTTTGATTGACATTTAAAGTAGCAAGTCATAATGATACGTGGTGTTTTCAAATTACTGGGTTAGACACTACTAGAATGACACTAAGAGAGAGAAAGCGAGAACTTATGAACTTGAATGGAGATTTATATTAATCAGAACTATCAAGTGACTGGGTGCTGAATGAAATAGGGTATAGAAACAAAGTAGGAAGTGTTATTTATTGTGATATGGAACTAATAATAAAGTATTTATAAGAGAAATTTCGTATACACTTCGTCTAACTGTCATGGTTTATAATAACTTTTGAGTAGAGGTCAGTAAGGAAGCATTCAGTTAGCTACAACGTAGGACCAGGCACATATATACATCGGTCCAATTTGCCATACCTCATTAGCACAGCAAGATGAGCACCGGATTCATAGAAGTAGTTAACTCAATGGTGGTAATATATAAAAGAATGATTGGGTATAAGTATATATCACAGGAAGAAATAATTAGAAAGTAAGGTATAAAGTAATTTTAATCTCATAGTTTAAGGGAAAACATAGTGTATACACCGATACCATTGTGATGGATTCTGAGTGATGTCATCCAGAATCTCCAACCATTGGTTACGATAGTCACGCGGACCCCAACCAAGTAGTCTGCATCTACCAACATGGCTCAGACCAGAAGTTAGAGACTTTAAGCACTGATGCCACGTTTTTGTTTGGCCATCCCTAACGTTCTTTCAACCGTCTCCAACACTAGTCAGCATTACGCTCTGTGTTAATCGGTGTTCAGGCATACATAACCAGTGGCCCAACCGTCTCAGTCAATGTTAATTCCCAGTCCCATCAACTAATTTATTTTCATTCCCTAATACTCCGTGTCTAACCTCACTATTACTTACCTGGTGATCCCAGCAGATGCGAGCCATATTTCTTAGACATCTGTGATCAAATACTAGTAGCTTACGAGTATCTTCTACTCTTAATGACCACGATTAACAGCCGCAAAGTAGAACAGAACGAACTACTGCACAGTATACTCGTCTCTTAATTGATAGTCGGATATTCCGCCTTCGCCATGGGTGACTTTTATGTTTGAAGAGATTACGGGTCTACCTAATTTAAGAACGGAACAATGACTTTGACCAAAGACCAATAAGCTAGCTATTCTGACGCATCCCAGCCCAGCTAACTAGAGAAGGTCCAAGTTTGGAAGAGAGAAATATGTTCCACAAGCACACAGAAGTACGAACAACCACATGTTTAGTCCGGAATACACACTTATTTATATATTGATTCATACACCCATTTTTTATCAATAATTACAATAAAATGATATATGAAAAATACTTAGTTATAACAAATCATATGGTGAGAATAGTTCATGTCTATTTAGTACAAGAATATCGTATGATATACAGAATAAAATACCATACGGGAAAACAAAACAAGTACTATACTTGGTAACCATCACAGTGAATTAAAACGGAAGTAATGCTGAACAAAAAATCGTAAAGAGTAAATCAATCTAATTTTGACTTTTCGTCCCGTCATATCAGTGATGTGAGTTGGCAAAAGCCAAACGAGCTTTTTGAACCTGTGAAATTTCGCCAGAAACCAACCCATTGGGGCGGATCAGACTTCCAAGATAAGTGAAGTTGTCGACGCGTCCAACTACTTCACTCCCTATCATTAGTTCGGGTGTTGACGCAACAACTTGCATTTAGAGAGGGAGAAACACATTCCAGACATTCTGGCATTGTTACTCAGTGCTAACAAAAGACTCAGCATTTTATCAGGTTCTTCACCAAACAGGACTATATCATCTGCGTATTCGAAGTCGATAAGTGGACCTCCTGGAAGGAGCTCAATACCCGAGAATTCAGTCGGCGACAGCATTATTTGCATCAGTAGGTCCATGATGAACTTAAAGAAAAATGGAGAAAGTGGACAGCCTTGACGGACACCACTTGAGGTTGCGAAAGCAGATGAAAGTTCACCATAAGCTCTAACTCGACTAGCAGTGTTCGAGTAAAGAGCCTTCACAAGGTTTATGTAGTTCTTTCGGTCTACATAATCAAATGCTGCTTCTAAGTCAAGATTGACCACCTTTGTCAGACGCTGAGAAGCATGCCTGTGTTCTAAAACCTGATAAATGGTGAATGTGTTGGATGCAGCCACGACAGGATCTGAAGCCAACCTGATTTTCTCGTGTATGCAGTCCACGAGTCTTAGGCTCCAGGTAATTATTGAGGCTAGTATTTCAGATGCTGTGTTAGTCAAACTAATCCCTCTATTGTTATCACAGGATAATTTTAATCCTTTCTTATATATTGGGACGAACAGTTATTTCGTCCAATCGGATGGAATTACGTCCAACTCCCAGATTTTAACTAAAATATTAGTCAACCTAATCGCTAAAACTAGACCACTATCCTTAAAGACTTCTGGGGCCAATCCATGTGGACCAGCTGCTCTTCAGCTAGAGTTGGGGGACCTACTTCAATGTTCCGTTCACACTGTCTGGGAGGGTAGTTGTAGAGTAGGTGAAGGACGGCCGAACTGCTTCCTAAAGTGTCCTACCCGTCGTTCTAAACATCTGGACTGTGAGCAGACAAGAGTGTCGTCTTTTTCGGAGATCTTATCACTTACACTTGACTTGATTATTCCAGTTTCTTTTATTAGTCTGAAAAGCTGTTTTGTGTTACCTACAGCTGCTACCTTATCCATCTCCTTCGTTGCCCACGACAGATCGCTGTCGTTCCCTAGTTTTTGGCTAAACTAGATCAGCGTGTTGGGAGCCTGATGGGACGAGTTTACGACAGTCGATCTGTGTATAAGTTGCGGCAGAAATCTACGGGTTTTTCATGACCCTTTGGTCCAAATCACTAATAGATGTTGCTGCTGTTTCCATAGATGTTCGTGTATCTTTCCAAGCAACATCTGGGTCAGTCTCGTTTTTAGAACTACCTGTAAGTCCAGTGAAATTCCACTTAGCCCTAGCCAAATCATCCGGCAGTTGGGTCATTGAATATCGAACAAATCATCGATTCTAATCAAGGTAAAGGACAACCAACGCGCATCAGTTAATAGTACGTCATGGACTGGCCCATG